ATCTAAAACGCAAGAGGGATAGCTTTGACAATGTGTCCCTGATGTCTGTGGACTCTTTTGCCCTGCCAGCGAGTACCAAGAAACCCAAACTAATACGCACGGGTTCCATTTCGAGGACCCTTCGACGATCTGTGAGCTTTGTGGCCGAACCGTTGATGAAGACTTTAAGGCCACGAAGAAGCTCGGTGGCAGATGCTTCCAGTTTCATCGGCAGCGAGGCAGCCGATAATTCCATTTGCTCCCTGGCCTCCTCCATTAATTTGACCCTCAATGAGTCCATTAGGAAGCCAGTCAAAGAAAAACTGCGCAGCTTTTGCGGCAGGATAACGAGAAGCAGTAGTCGTAGAACCGATAGAGGTGTAGATGGCACTCCGGAGTGTTCCACCATCCTGGATAGTGGTTTCAAGACCCCCAAAGCACCCAAGCTCAGATCTACAGCCACGCCCAAAACAGCCAAGCGACTCTTCGGCCCCGTCTCCGGCGTTGTTTCCGCCTTGACCCTTACCAACCCCTCCACACCCACCCTCAATCCCACCCCCAATCCAAATCCCATTATCGGTTTGGATGTCAACGATACTTCCACCCACACTTTTGCTTTCTGTGCTGCTGCCGTCACGCCTGCCATGCCACCATCATCATCATCGTCATCTCCCATATTATCGACTTCGATCGCTGTACATAGCTCGGTGCAAGTAATTAAGTCTCCTGAAGAGTCGACAGCGAGGCTTCAAAGCCCCGGCCACATAGAAGAACCCATGCCAATGGTACTTTTGAAATTCACAAGTGTTTTCTCTTAGGGAATTTAAAGGACAGACTTTAAAACGGCAAAGAATTTAAAGTTGGGGGGATCGAACATTGAATTTTCTTTAGTTAAAAGTTTGATACAATTTATTTATTTTAGTATTTAGGCTTATGTGTTTCTACAGTCTTAACATATTTTTCGACAAAGAAACCAATTTTGGGAATTTTACAAACTGCTTTTGCAAGTTTTTCCCATAACCTTCTCTAATTTATCTCTTTAATTAAATTTATTCATAATTTTAGAAAAATTTTTAAAAAATATGTTTTCATTTTCAGTATTGCGATATTTATCTGTTTTCGTGCATTCATTTTTTAAAAAATACCAAAACCATGTGGTTTAATCACTTTCATGGGTCTATTGTGTTTAATCAACTATGTTCGAGCATTTTTAACATTATTTCAGTTGCTGTACGACGCGATTTCCCTCAATCCCCCCGTCATCCATCATCCAGCCTCCTTCCATCCCAAATGTTATTTAATTGTTATTTAATGGTTATGCCGTAGCTTAAGTCACAACTCATATAACATCTAATTTGGTGCGGTGTCTGGAATTTCTTCTGTAAATAACTTTGGTTTCCTATGGTCTACTCACTATTTTTTTTCTGGCCAGCGCACAAAATACAAAAAAAAAGACATCCAAACAAAGCAGCACAATAAATATTGGAATAACATTTATTTGCAACACACAAAACACACACACCCCACACTTTGGTTATAGACTTTCGTTCAGCTTGAATAAATGTTAAAAATGCCAGCAAGAAAACAACGTAGATAAATAAATTGAAACAATAAATGGAGAAAAGAATAGAATCTAGCAAACTTATACGCGTCTAGCTCGAGCGATTCCTTCGCATTTGGGTGAATTTTTATTTTCTCTATGGACTAACAAATATTTACACAAATGTTACTCGTTCTTGGGGCGAAACAATTTGCATTCATGTTCCGTAGCTTTACACTCTTGCCTCGTTTCGTTCGCTAAGATCTTTGCCGTTTCAAAGTGCTGCCAAAAATGTGCACTAAAAATGTTTTGTTTAGCCTTTTTGCATTTGATGAATGTTTTCAAAATTTATTGTGCTTGCTGCTGCTGTGCCGAGCTATATCTCTCTATATACAAATTATATAGATGCTTGATTGACTTTGTTTCGTATAATCTAAATTAGGCAGCAAACAAAACATTTTTTTGCGATCTAGCACATTCCGCATCTCTTTTAATTACTAAACGGAGGATCATTGGAATTAATCGTCTTGATTTATTGCCGTTCAGGTGGTTGACGAGCACACGACTGTGTCGAAGCCGGAGCCGAAGAACAATCACACGCACATCCTGAAATCAGACTGGTTCTGGTATACCATACAGAATGGCTATGCCAACGAGATGGACTATCTGTTCGGCGACGTAAGTGGATCACTCTTTAATTGGTTTTCTGCTGATATTAATTGAATTTCTTATAAAATATTTTAGTATTTGGACAGCATCACGAATACCCCCAATACAGATCGTCGGGATTCGTTACCCATTAGCTTTAACAAGCGGAAACGCAAGCGTTTCTCGCAACGCATCCAACTGGAGGGCACACCTCTGGGCTCTGGAAAGCGACGTTCCTCCGTCTCCGATGCCGGTCTACTGTCCGTATCGAATAGTTTCTTCGATTGCACCACTAGCCCGGATAAACTGGAGGCCGATAAGCTGTTGCATGCTGAGCCGGAGGCGAGTGAATCCACGCCAGCCAAGAAATCGATGCGCTTTAACCACTTTATGGACTTCTTTACCACAGAGTCCAACTATGTGGGCATATTGGATACCATATTGAATGTAGGTTGAAAATTATTAGTGATAAATGGAATAATCTTTCTAATATACCATTTTTGTATAAATGTATACCCTACAAAACCAAGATATACTCATGAAATTCCATTCCCTTACAGCTCTTTAAAAATAAACTGGAGGAGCTGGCCGAGACCAATGATCCATTGCTTAACAAGTCCGAGATCAAGACGATCTTTGGCAACTTTCTGCCCATCCACGAGGTTCATCAGAGCATGCTAGAGCACCTGCGCAAATTGCATGCCAATTGGCGGGAGGATTGTCTAATTGGCGACATTATTATCCAGCATCGCGACGAGCTGATCAAGGCCTATCCGCCTTACGTTAATTTCTTCGAGCAAATGAAGGAGCAACTGCAGTACTGCGATCGAGAGTATCCCCGCTTCCATGCCTTCCTGAAAATCAATCAGACGAAGCCGGAGTGCGGCCGCCAAGGCCTGCAGGATCTGATGATCCGACCGGTGCAGCGATTGCCCAGCATCAGTCTTCTGTTGAATGACATCCTGAAGCACACAGGTGGTAGCAATGCGGATCACGGGCGATTGGAAGAAGCATTGAAGGCCATCAAGCAGGTTACGCTGCACATCAACGAGGACAAAAGGCGCACCGAGTCGCGCATGGCCATCTTCGATATATTCAACGATATCGACGGTTGTCCGGCGCATTTGGTGAGTTCGAATCGCAGCTTCATCTTGAAATGCGAGGTGAACGAGCTCTCCGACTCACTGAGTGGTCGTGGTGATAGCCTGGTCCTGTACCTTTTCTCCGATTCCATTGAGCTTTGCAAGCGGCGTTCAAGAGGATTCAATACCGCCAAATCACCGAGCACGGCCAAGACGCATAAGCATCTCAAGCTGATATCGTTGAATACGATACGACTAGTAATTGATATTTCGGATAGCCCGCGTGCCTTCGGATTGCTCTTGCGGGGTGATAAGGAAAAGCTATATACGTTTACGATTAGCGAAGAGGAAACGGACAAGTCGGTCTACGTGAAGAAACTGTGCAACCAAATAGCTGCCCACACGTGCCGAACAGATGCGGTATGTAAAAGTGTTTACTTAAATAATATTGGCACTATAAATTGTAGACTAAGTTCAATTCATTTTTTAATTTATGTTCTTACTCTTATATTGCAGGACAAACTATTGATTTGTCGTACCTCCCAGGAATTGGAGGTGGACATAAGCGATGTGAATGTCAGCACGCTGAGCAAGGCCTTCAAACTGGCTGCCAAGACGCGACTAAAGGTAGCCCTTTAAAATTTACATAAATTTCAAACATTTAACTAACTTTAATATTTGTTCTGTACTTAGGTGGGTCGTGCCTTCTCCTTTAACAAAACGCCCAACAAGCTGAAACGAGCCGTCTCCACGATGATGACTTCGCCTTTTGGCAGCACCAATTCGCTGACGCCCGCTTCTCAATTGGCCCAAATGCGTTTGGCCAGTTGCACGAATATAAATGTATGTGACAGAAAGGAAAAACAAATTGTCAAGTACTAATGTCTAATTTTATTTTTAGGAGGTTGACGATGAAGACTGTGCCAGCATGAGGAGTAGTTCGCCGTCAACGCAATCCGAAATGCTGGTGGTGCCCCCGCTCTCCGTGCAGCCCACGCGGAAAAACAAGGCCGTTGTGGGTCGCATTTAAAGTGGTCGATGATTCCGCAGTCAATTTGTGTATTCCATTTTTGAAGTCTCTTGAAAAGAGAGACTCGCTTGCAGTGCTATTTCCTCGGGAAATGGGTGGTCCATGTCCGAGTGCTGATGATGCAACCTTCGAATTCGTAATCTCACAAAAAAACCAGAAACAAATTATCAAGCGTCCAATATTGTCTAGATTGTAAAATTTATTGTTAAGTTGCACCTATCGATGTGAAGCTCGCGAATGTTGAAGCGTTCGACCGAGCTATCGATTGACCATGATTAACTTGTAAATAGTTCTCCATATGTGTACGCCCGTACCCGAATAATTGTGTCGCGTCGCTAAATGTAACCAACTACTCATTGCAGTGACTAGAGATCGCATTCACGCACGCACCGAACGATCGGTTCGAATGGGTTTCGGTCGGATGATCGCCACACCGCAACAAGCTGTGAATGTTTACTGAGTAAATTTTTTAAAAACTTATCTTACTATATTGATTATAACTCAACGATTTTGCTTGAGTAGGCACTTACGACCCTAAGTCGTAATGCATTTAAAGCATGATGATGTGTAAGTTAATATATGAACAATCATTAAAAAAAAATTATCTTAAGATCAACGCATTTCTTATTTCCAAAGATTGAAGCGCCAAAGTAGGCAACGAAATCAACAATTTATCGAAGAAATCTCAGCCCAAAAGATATTCAATAATAAACGTGAGAAATTTCTTAATTTGCGTTCATTAATTTAGTTTCTCAAACAATTTTGTTAAGGCCTTTCCAAGTCATCTTTCATAAACACTAAGCCAATATTATCTTCCACACATACGAATCTGGTGTATCAAAATAAAAATTTAACAACGGAGAGGACCTGATCACTTTCTTTCAAAGGGTGTAAACCGATTTGACGCACGAATTGATTTTGCACATTGCATCAGAATGAAGTTGATATTGCAGATTATGCGACTGCAAACGTAAGAGCATCTTCAGCTTTTGGCCGATCTCGAGAATGGCCATCTCGCTATTGCCATTAGCAGTCCAAACGGCTGTAAAAAATGGTTCTCAAATCAATTGGGCTGGAATAAATTTGAGAAACTCACAGATCTTGTTGCTCTTGGCGCGTATGTTGATCACAGCGCCACAGATTTCATCGGAGTATTCAAAAGCTTGGCCCACCATCATCAGGAGAATATCAAGCCAAATGCGATCTAGTTCCAACTTGGCACTTTTGCCCACGGTGACCAGCCAGCGACCTCCCTTGATGTTGGCCACATCTTCCCACATGGGTCTTGGGGATAAGGGATTACTATTAGGATCTGTAAAGCTGTCGATAATGTTCCCCTACTTTATGTCCTTCTTGAACATCGAGTAGTCGCATCCAATCTTAAGCTCAGATGGCGTCTTAATTGTATAGTACAAACTCCAGAAGGTCTCCACACTGTCGATCTGGGTGATCTCGTTCAGCATGTCCTTCCAGTGCTTGGTGCGATCGTTTTCCAAGTACCACAAAGTCCACACATGCTCCAAAGGATGTTTGTACTCAACTTCATATAAGGCTTCATCGATAAGTTGGTGATTCTGGTCATCCTGCGGAACATCTTCCTGCTGCTTATTATTTTGCAGGTGCTCTAGCTTCTCCTGCTGCTCCTTGAACTCCTTTGACTGCCCCTCGAAGACGGCACTTTCAAAGCTCCGCACTTGTGCACTAGCCATTATTGTCGTTGTTGCGTTACAAATAGAGTACTTTAATTTATATGTTGACCCAGGGGCTGTGGTCTCAACGAATTTAGTCACGATTCGAGTGGGAATTGCTTACGGGTAACCAAAAATACTTTAGCACATTTTTCTAAGACCTAAACGAAACGTATCGAAAAGAAGGATATTAAACAATGACAACCAGGTCATTTGACGTTAAATAAACAGGCTACTTAGCTGGTTTATTATATAAATTATTTTTATTTATTTATAAATACTGCAAAACTTAAGACAATTGAAATGTACATATTGTTAACATAAAAATGCGCGCTTGGTTCTTAAAAAATAAAATGATAACGTAAAAAATTAAAAATAATACACTCTTTAAAAGTGATAAACTAAACACTAAGCGGAGGCACTAGAGAAAAACAAAACTAAGAAACTACGGGGGTATACAAAATTAAATAAAGGTTTTAAGTCCGTTTTCAAAACCATTTTCGAGTAGCTTCTTTATAAGTTTAGAATAAGATCTTAATATCTTTTCAACGTGGTTTTGAAAATAGGATATCCACTTGTCTAGACCCACAAAACAGCGGCTGCATCCTCATTTGATAAAGTGGAGAAGCGCTGATAGCGATTCGCATTGCGATAGGTTTTCGAGGGCGATTGACTGGTGGAAATCTGAGCTTGGACCTGGACTTGAATTTGAGTCTGGGTTTGCACGGGCAGTCCCACCATATTTAAGCCCGACTTTAGGGTGGAGTTTCTGCTTTCCGAGGACATGGAAAGGCGTCGCTGGTTCCCATTCATCACTGTGGAACTCAAAGGCAAGCCCACGTCGTGAAAGGAGCTAATCGAACTGAAACCGCTCTCATCTTCGGTGCTGGAACCGCTCTGCTTATTGCTGGTGGGTTTTAAATTGCTATTGCTGATGGCTGTGTTGCTGGCGGTGGTTGTCGTATTATTGTGGTTGTTAGTACTCTGCGTCTCCTCATCCGTTTCTACTTTCGAGGAAGAGGATGCCGTCGAGGAGATGGTGGAATGCACGGAGCTGTCGGTGGAGCTGCGCAGCGAGAGCCTCGAGTCCCTCATGTTGTTGGCCCGCAGAAAGATCAGTTCCGCATTGGATTTCGCAGCCGGCGATGGAGCCTCCAGTGTGGCATTCATGATGCTGGTGGAATTGTGCAACGGTGGCGTCAACAGCGTCATCACCGAACTGGTTTTTCCCTTGCACAGACGATGATTTCCCGAAGGCAGCGATGAAATGGAGGCCAGCGAGTGACGCGGCTGCGTGAGATCCGGCTGCTGCTCCGAGGTGTGCAGCAAATTCCTGATGGTTCTGGCCAAACGGAAAGCCTCTTGATTCAGTTTTTCCTCGTTGGCCTCCGGCGAAGATAGGCGTGCCTTGCAGCCGCCACTGCCTCCGGATTTCTTCGGTGAGCGACGCCTTTTGTGGGGAGAAAAATAAGGTTAATAAGTTACCGAGCAATTCATAAATTACTAAAAGACTAACAACATTCAAACCTTTTTTTATATTTTTTAATTGTTTTTTACATATGTATGTGAATAAATATTTATACATCTATACATATACATATTTAATATAATTTACAAGACTGCCGTTTACATTTTCTGTAAACAAAATCTTTTATTAGACCGGTATTAAATTATTTTATGTTTGTTTGAATCCGTTTTCTTATTCTTTTCGTAAATGATTAATGTATATTCCAATTCTCACTTACCATGTAAAATCCTTAAAGGCATTATAGCTTCCAGCTGGTGCAATCGTCTCGTAATTATGCTCTTCATTCATGGCATGCATTGACTTATTCAATACCAAATTGGTACTGCTCCGGGCTCGTAGATATGAAGCGGATCCGGCACTCGAGGCGTCATCATCTCGGGGATCACTCTGCAGCGAGGTGTTGCCCACTCCGTGGACATGATGCAAGCTTTTGGAGCGGGCGATCTGCTCGCCATTGCGATGGGTTTGCTGGAGTTGTTGCTGCAACTGGTAGCGCTCAAAGAAGCGGGCCACTTCCTCCATCACCGCTCGGTACATCTCGCAATTGGTTTCGGTCTAGAATTAAAGATTTAAGAATGACGTAGAAATTACGGCATTGTATAAAACTAAGAAAATAATGAATAATTAGGGGAGCATAGTTATGAATCGCGGTTTGGCTTTCGATAACTATCCCTTATTGGAACTTAATTGCCTAAATATTTTAAAAAATTTCCCTGAAAAATTTCTTAATTTTTAAAGTATTATTTCTTAATTCTTTAATGCTTTATTGCCTTGTCGGAAAAAATAAAGTTTTTCCATATATGGTTTCATAACATGCTTACCTTCTTGAGCGAATATTTTATGTATGCCACTGTTCTATTTTAAATGAATATATTTTACTTTTATATGCCCGATTATACTTTACTTATTAGCTATTGGATAAAACATCCAGCAAGTTTCTTCAATTCGCATTGGTGCAATGTCAGGTTCCAATAAAATTCTGGAGGACAGCTAAGCAAACGGATCTCATAGAATCGGTGGCTATTATTTGAAATGGATTGTCCAAGCTCAGTTTTGTGGTATAAAAAAGTAAAAAAAAGTTTGTATTCCACTACATACAATTAAGAATATCGCAATTAAAAAAATCGTTTTATCTATACTTATAATTGCACGACGCCCAGCGTCTGCAGTTCATTTGAGACCCAGGCATTGATCGTTGGAGTGCTTTTATCTTAATGATAAATAAATACACTTTATTGACAAAAGGATGTCTTGTCTTCGGTGTATTTTGGATTATAAGATTATTATCTCCTCTGTCCTTGAAACAATAAGATTGTCCGGTCAAGTGTAAAATACAGAAACGTAGGAAAACAATGTTGGCTAAGAAACTATGGTTTACTAAATAAAAAAACCGTTTGTTAGATTAGTCAGCAAATTATGCATAGTTCTGAATGGTTTTTTTTTTAATCTGTAAAATAAATAATTCTTCTGGTAGCTCTAAAAAAAAGTGACAAATATTTTAGACCAATGACGGTCAAGCATTGGCAGTAAGAATGCAATTTGTGTGCATAATGGTTATTCTTAAATTCCTAGGAGTACTTTTTATATAAATAGTCTTTCTTTGTATACGATATTGGCATTGATTTACGATAAATAAAAGTTAAACACTTCAATTTGATAACGAACTGTAGCATTTTGTAAGTATAAAAGGGTTGGCGATTTCCAAGCAAAACCATCATTTTCTCAGAAAGCCTTCATTGGATTAAATCATAAGTAAGAATACTCAGAAAAACCTTTAACATTTATAGCATTAATAAATCCTTCATTTTCAGTGAGGCGAGGACCTTTCTTTTTGTGCCTAGTTCTAGTGCTTTACTTGAACGCTGTTAATAGCGATGTGTACAATAATGTTGTAGTAAGTGCCGCATTCGATCGAAATTTACATAATCTAAGAAAATCAAGTTCCTATGCAGCCCATTATAACCGAACCTTCTGCGCCCATTGATCACTGCCCAACATATGACGATCCTAACCATGTGGTGATGTTGCCATATCCCAAGGACTGTCGCAAGTATTACACATGCCAGAAAGGACAGGCCTTCGAGCACCAGTGTCCGGAAAACTTGTACTGGAGCCAGATGACCTACCGCTGCGACTATAGGGAGTACTCCAGTTGCAAATCAGACGATCCACCAAAACCCAGCAACGAGGTTACATACAGCCCATTTCCCGGAGACTGTAGCCGATACTACGAGACACGTATCCATCGCTGTGACCAGAACCTTCAGTGGAGTTCCCTATACCAGCAATGCGTAGCCCCAGGGTACGCAAATTGTCAGGACTATCCGGTGCCAATTCCTCCGACGAATCCTTTGCCACCCATCGATCCGATACCCACTGCTGCTACTCCACCATCTGAAGATTGGACTTCCACTGAACCCAATTACCTACCAACAGATCCCCTATCTCTGTGCAGAAATAGTGTTTTCAATGCGTACATTCCGTATCCCGGGGACTGCCGTAAGTTTATTCATTGCGGACCAACGGCAAATGTCCTTACTTGTCCAGGCAGCTTGTTTTGGAATCCCGGACAACTTTCCTGCAGCACATACAGCCCTGGCTGCCAGTATTGAAACAAAAGCTACGACATTTTATAAATATTTGTATACTAAAGCTTATAATTCAGATAATTTCATTAACAAATTTATAAAAAAATTTGCAACCGTTTTTAAGAACTGCCAAAATGTTGGTATGGAATCATTCTAATGTGTTTTCGCTAATAAATTAACCCAAAAACAGGTGCAACCGATCATCTTAGCGACCATGCAGGACTAAGGCCAATTAAGTATAGATGGTAAACAGTAGGAAAATGGCCTAAAAATATTGTAAATTAATTAACTTTTAAATTAAGTATACGATTGTGATGAAAGATATTGACAAAGGTGAAGTTAAGTCTTTCTACTTGCATCGAAATAAAAAACTTTTGAAAAGTCATTATATGAAAATTTACAGAGCATAAAAACATCTATATGGCAAATATAATAATTTAGTATACATTTTCAATTCTGCACTGCCAGTGCCACTAGTCGTGTCACTAGTGTCACTACGTCGACTGCCGCAGTTTTAATTTGATTTCAGCTTCATTTGTTTATAATCTGTTTATTTTTCTCATTTGTTTTCTCTCGAATACTACAAGTTCTTTTGATTGAAAACATAAATAAATGAGTTTAAAACATATTTATAAATCTTTAGATAAACCAACAGATATTCAATCGATGTGTGACTGGCCAACTCATCACCGCCTTTCCCCACCAACTCATGTAACTTTGCCCCAATGTGCCAGGTCATTGCTTTGACACTTTGATAATGCATTTGAACCGATGACTTTAATTTATTATTTATGTTAATTGTAAATGATTTTGCTTGGCAGCAAACATTTGTGGAGCAGCGCCATCGGCAGCAGCATCATCAGCCTATAAAAACTTTCACTTGATTTGTTATCTCGCCTCTCACTCCGAGCATTTCTCTACCTCTTTTTTTGTGTTGTGCTGTGGGTCTGTGGGCCATTCCAGCATCTTTGGCCAAGTGGCAAAGTAGGTGAGAGGGAGGGGGAGGTAATGTCGCTTTTCGGTTAACTTCTGTGGGCCAAATTGTCTAATTATCAAATGCCATTCGAGTTGGCGTCGCTTGCCAAATTGGCAGAGACCTCAGAAAGGCGTTAAGATTACCGATTGCCATCACCTGGCACACGCCCACCTTCCAGGCCATTTGAAAATTGGCCAAAACGGGTGGGTATGTATACAAATCTGCTGGTTTTTGGGGGGGGCTTCACACGATGCCAAAATAGTTGGTGTCTGGCTGATTATGTAAGTGGCCGTTGCAGTTTTTTTTTTGCTATTGCTATTGCTATTGCAACGCTTGGAAATTGTTGCTAATTTTTCTTTGGTCGTTTTTCCGTTTTCGGAGTTTTCCTACTGCGTGCTAGCAAGAGGTTTTCATTCGAATTACGAATTGTTTTCGTGTGTCTGAGATTTATTTGAAAATTATGTGGAAATTGTTTGCCGGTAAGCTGCTGCTGTATTTGATTTCGATTTTGTTATGGTTTGTTTAATTTCATTAATGCCCAAAGTGTTTCAGCCATCGAGCAATTGGAGCTGAGAGGATTCAGATTCGCTTGGCCTGGCAGCAGCTTCCCATTGAACGCGTTTCCTGGCTGCACCGGTTTATTCATCTCCCTGGTGCATAAATTTAAATGCGGTCTCCTACCATCGACTCGACTCGACTAGACGAGACTCAATCAATCAATCAATCAATCTCGTCAGGGTTTTCCACCCACGCCCACATAGTTTTTATTTTCAATTATAGTGGCAAAAAGTTTTTCCACGCGGTTTTCCTGCCTTCTAACCCAGTTAGTTTGCCGTTCGCCAAACTAGAAACGGACCAAACTGTAGAAAATATTTGTGTTTTCTTATTATTTTTCTGGTTGCCTTGTTTTCTTTTGCAATTTTCCAAGACGGAGACCGTCGGCTTTCCAAGTCAACTTCATTGGGGCTCATTTAAAGCGCATTAAATCGAAATGAAAGCGTAAATATTTTCGCTCTTTGAGCGGCATCCGTTGGGTGATTATGCGTTGCATAGAATCGCCTCGAATTGAAAGTGTTCGAGGGGAGAAACTGGACAGAGGAGATCTCAGATCTCACCACATCAAGCGTGAACGCTGAAGGTCATCTCGGCGGGTTCGAGTTCAAAGTTGGATTCGGTCAATTGGGAGCAGAGACGGCTTAGTGAACTGGTCTACTTTTTTATTTATTGGGAAAATCACAGAAAACTTAGGAAAACTAGTGCTGTAGTAAAAGAAAACTTATCTTGATTGAGGAACAATTTTAAGCTCTTATATTATTTGATTCCTAAATGGCCAGTAATACATTTTTTGAAATTTTTATAACTTCTTAATTTATGATCTATATTCTAGTACTTACTCTATAATATTTAATTTTTAAATAGGTTTTTTCTGTAAAATTCTCATAACCTCTCGTAACCTTTTTCACTTCCTATTCTTTAACATAGACAGCATACCTATAATTTGAAAATTCTTCGCAGCTGCTTTAATCAATTCAATCTATGTGAGTACCTCCACAAATTCCTGTTCAAGAATTTTCCCCAATGCACAAGTCATTTTATTGAATGGCCAACTTATTATTACACACCATATAGATACCAATCAGAATTGTTTGATTCAATCTGGCGCTTCTCACTTTTACGGTGAAGTTTCAGAAGGCAGAAACCCGTCAGCTCCATTAGCAACCTTTTGTGAGGAAGTATAAAATTAATGCAGCTGTTGGCTAAAGGAAATGGTCGAAAGACAATGAAGACACGATGACCGAAGACCAGAACAAAGCAATATATAGAAGAGTCCATCCGACCACAGTGCGAGTCTATAATTAAGCGTCAGAGAAGAATTCTGCCGCCTAATTGCGATGGGGCAAGGCATTTGGCCCTAACTGGGGAGGAACTATGGGGAAAGGAAATGCTTGATTGTTACACAAGAAAAAATTATATATAAAGGGAAAAAAACAAACACAATTATGCTGTTATAAAATTCTTATCGACAGATTAAAACCAGCAATGAAGTTGAGTTATGATGCATTTATATGATAATCTAAGCATAATGTAATTCACATTAAATTCACAATATTTATTGGAAATTAACAAATTAATTAAAATAGTTCATACTTGAACTTCAGTAGAACTTTTGCATCCAAATAATAATACTAATTTGATTTAAATAATATTTAAACTCTTAAATCTCTTAAAAAATATTTCAAAAAACTTAAACAATATATATACTATTTAGAATATTAGTTTTTAATAGATCAAATAAACCTTTCAGTGTAAAAGAACTTAGTCTAACAAGCGACCCCATCTGGTTACGGAATCGTTCCTCACATCTCTTACATTTCCATTTCCATTCCGATTTGAGTAAATTAAGCGTGAGAACTATTTGAATAAAAAATGCTAGAGACAGGAAAACAGGTTGATCCAAGGAGGGCAACAGAAGTCGGTAGCCAAAGCAGATCGAGATTGAGATGGGGTTTCGGTGTGGGGTTGTCGGGTTGTCGGGTTGACTTGGCACTTAACATAGTTTCCTCCAGCCAAGAACACAAATTACAAGTCACGTTTGTGTCTTGAGTCTTTTGTTTGGTTGCGGATCTCTTGGCCTGCCTTTCGCTGGCTCATTTACTCACCTGTTTCAATTGCCAATGCAATGTATCCACCTGATTCTGCAATATGACAGCCTCGACATTTAGTTGATGTTGTTGCTGGTGGTGCTGATGTTGCTGTTGTTGTTGCTGCTGGTAGTGGTGCTGATGTGGCTGCAATTGCTGTGGCAAGTCATAGATGTGGCTCTGGATGTGGTGGCTGGGTGCGGCCATGATGTTGGCATCCTGCAAATGTTGTCACAAATAAATACATATATGGATAACTTTACAAAAAAATGTATGAAAAAAATGCGCGTTAAATTAGCTGAGAAAAAACGAAAATTGCAATTTCAAAAATGTTGTCAAAGTGTTGGACAACCACCCAGTGGCTAGTTCGCTTTTAATGCGAAATCGCGCACGATAACCGCCAAAAGCGGAAAGGCTCAGGTGGAGCAGCTTTAGCACTAGCCAGCCCATCCAAAGTTGTACAATTAATTAGAGAAAACTATTTATACAATACATACTCCTTTGTATTTATTTTTTAACGTTACTCTACACACTGCTTGGCAGTAAATTTCTGGTATACTTAACATTTTCCACATTTATTAAGGCTGTGAATGCGAGGTAGCTGGTCAAGCGCATAACCCGTTTATCTCTGGCCAACCATGTTTTCGTATTACTTTGTTTTATTTTTGTCTATTTTGTATGTTCACGGTTTACTTTTTCTTTTATAACATCATTTTTTCAAAGACTTTGACCCACAACTCGAAAAAATAAATGGGGATAAACTAGAGAAGCATATTATGAAAAATGGAGAAACGTTTAAAAAAAACAGGAGAGAATTAGATAATGAAATCTAGACAAAATGAAACGGTCTTTACATTCAAGTTTAAAAATGTTGTACGTCTCATAAAAAAAGAAAGGAACTGGAAATAGAAAAACATTCAGAGGGGTCTTAAATAAATTTAAAATGCATTTTTTATTTATGTTTCAGTACTCGTTTAAAAGTCCATTTTGAATAACGAAAATTACCAAGTATAATATGTATATATATATTCAATTATTCGGTAATAAAATAAGGCAACAACGTAAACAAAAGAAAGCCCAAAACGACAATTACTCTTCAAGTTGCCACATAAATCATTTGAAGTCTGACCTCCAGTATTTGGACCAAGTAATGATGTAATCTCTTTTAGCCCACTTTCCACGCCCACGCTCACGCCCATTGCCCAAAAGACAAATTACCGAAAGGCACAGCCGAAAAAAATTATGAATTTTCATCAAATTTGATTGCAAATGTTTGTTTTCGTTGTTGTTGCCACAATGTAAATTATCATTTGCGGTTTTCCAGACTGCCACGCCCACACACCGGTCGCAACGCCTCCCCTTTCGATCGCAGCAGGCGAAACCAAAAATGTGGTCAGCTCAAAACTCAATTTGGTGCAATTTTACGCTTGTTAATTAATGCATTTGCAGCTTTTTTGTGCTATTTTGCTTTCGGGTTTGATTTATTGATTATAGACATACGGCCCAAACAAGATTTGGCGGGGAGATGAAGAGATTTTGTTGCCCCAAAGGCCGAAATAGGAAATAAATAATTGTTTATAAACAGCTTTAAAGCGTGCGTTTTGGTAATATTCATGCCATTTATTTAAAATATAATATCTATAATTATGGCCAAATGGACATAAAGCATATAATTTGTAGACTATTTATTTTTCCTCCTATTAATTACAAAGTGTTTTTCCGGAATGTAAATATTAAAGGAAGAACAATATTTTGAACAATAAAATATTTCCTCTTTGCCTAAAACCTAATTAGCCGCCTTACTAATCCAAAAACTCTCTCAATTTCCCATTTCCCCATTAATCCGTTCTCAGTTTTCTGCAACTACACTTCACACATTAGCATATGGGAATATTCCCAGGAATTAAGCACATTTTCTTCCTCCTTTCCAATGCCGGAATTACTTATCAATTATATTTAATGAATTTTCATTAGGTTTTAATTAAAAATATCTTTGGACAAGCGAAACAGGCTAATTTCCATGGCAATCTAAACGGAAAAGCAATTACGTAAAGGTATACAATGCATATAGGAATCCACTTCTCAAGTAATCAGTCTTCAACTTTGGATCCAGACTTCTGCAGACATAATTGGATTCCTGTGAAGTAATCTCCCACATTCTTGTCTCGAACAAATTTGCATGAGGTGAAGTTCTGAACCCAAACAAACTAATTAAAATGCGCGTTACAATTCACAGGCAAACAACAAGAAGGTGTAAAAGAAATAGTGAAGAACTTGGAAGGGGAGAAATATACTTATATATATAGTGAGAGGGAGGCTAACCTCATTCCAGAGTCGAGACTTTGGCATCTAAAACTTTTCTTCATTCCCCGTTGGCAACAAACAAAATGCCAATTCCAAATGCAATTGCAAGTCTCCAGTTAAAGAATCTAGCTCATTTACATTTGTACCTACATCTTAAAACTCGTATGTAAAGAATTTATATAAAGCTGAAAAGTATGTACATTTGCTCTAAATATAAGTACCGTGATGCTCATAATAGTATTTAAAATAATTATGGTTTTACTATTTGTTTTAATAGTTTGCATTTGCTATATTTTGTGATAACGAATTTAAAAATATCCATTATATAATGAATTTGTTGAATCGTTGTGTATTATGTAGACTACAGTTTATTAATTGGTCAGAAAATCTTGAAAATATTAAAAGTAGGGATTGAAATAAAAATGGTATAAGCTCAGTTTAAAGCCAAAAAATTGTATCCAATATTTGAATAATTAATTTTATATAAGCAAATTATTAGGCTGTTCTCCTTATAAACAGTCAAAGCTCCACATTCTTCGAGTTATACAATACCTCTAAGTGCATTTTTTAGCCCTATCCGATAAGTTAGAAGTTAAAATTATTTAATTGAAGTACATGATTAACGTTAGAACGCCTTAGTTTATTATATGATAAGCATTATTTTTAAATAAGTATATAACACAAATATTTGTATACATTTTTAGAGCTCATCCATATGCATTTTCTCTTTTATAATTTGCATTGCATTTTCGAAACGCACTGTATGCTGGAATGGGATCACATTTCCCGCATCCTTTGCCCCCAAGCTCATCAATGTGCTATTTATATGTAATGAAATAAAACCGCCGCAACAAGCAGAAGAAATCTGCATTTCAAATAGGCAGCAACAGCAAAAGCAACAAACAATTGCATGCTCCAGTAATCTGCAATTGGGGGGGGGGATTTTGGGGGCTGAAGGGGGGTTAGCAACAAGTGTGCTAAAAGGGTTTCCACACACGAAAGGGATGGGGATAGTGGCTCCGAAAGAGAGAAGAGATGGCCAATTCCCAGGCTTCGCCATGAAACTACTTGGCTCGTCTCCATTACCAACTCGCTGTCGTTGTTATTTAAATTGTTTTGCGCTAGAACCGATGCAGCGGCATGTTGAAAGGGGGTGGAGTGGGGGTGGGGTGCATGTGTGGCATGTGGGTGTGGCAAATGGGGGAAAAGGGTCAAATAGCAGTTCACGCTTCGCTGGCTACTTCCCCACAATCTCAAACAGATCTGACTCGGTTTATTTGGTCTACTATTCGATCACAAAAACATTTCAGACTAAATAACTAAACCCATTTGTGTACAATGAAGCTGCATCAATTAAAGTGTTGCAACAGGAAGCGCAAAATGAGAGGGTTTCATATGTCGAGGCAGGAAGGCACACAGGAAGAACAGTAGAACAAAGATTTACTTAAATAGTATAATTAACTTCTTTATAGAAAATATTGTTTTAGCTTTATTTCAAAATTGTTAAATTGACATTGGCCACAATCGATAGACTTGAAATTTGGGGATCACAAAATCTGAATATGATTCAGTTTTAAGTCTAGTAGATGATTATTTTTCCAAAATTTAATTTTTATTGATTCTGTAATATAATTCTTAATAGAATAATGAAAGATACTTTGAAATATCATTATTCCAAGCATTACCGGATATGTTTTTGAACTTATCTTTTGATAATAAATTGTTTTAAGCTTTCCTTTCATTCTAAATTTCCCTTTAAATACCAAGATAATATTGAAAGGGTTAAAGGTTTTTCAACTTCCCAAACATTTGTGTGACCATTAAAGTTTCACATCCAAGGACTCCACACAGCTCCCCCATAAATTGCGAAACCACAACTAATTGCCGGCCAAATAATGTTATTCATCCCCAGACCAACACTCTGACTAATTCGATTAAGGGCTTAAGATTTTGCATTATTTCCCTTTTAGCCATGCTTGGCACACTTTCGGCTTTAAATTTAGCTTCCCCTTTGTATAATTTTCAAGGCAAACAGACAGAAAGTGCAAAGGAAAGGAAAATGAAAAGAAAAATGAGCTTGAAAATATTATGCCATTACAATGAGATGAAGCTGTAATGAGTGGGTGGAAAATAAAGGGGAGAAGGTCTTGCAAATTGCATAGATTTGCTCAGCAATTTGTAAGCTGCTGCATCTGGCCTACCCTGAATGGCATCCAACTCTGGATTTAGCTCCATCACAAGCTGTATGGATAATTGTCATTATGGTAATTGCTGAAAAGATCTGCATTTGGCACGACTTTCTCACATGACAAAACCAAAACACAAAACAATGACAAACTTGAATTGCTTTTTGCTGTTTGCTTTGGCAATCCAAAAGATTCGCTGATTGCTGTTTATTATTGCGCTGGCTTTTGCCAAGGAATTTCTGCGCATTTCTGCTGCATGTTTTTATTTTGTTTTCCGTTTTCATTTTCATTTTGTCATTTGCACGGAAATTGGGTTAATTTCAAAGCAACATTTTGGTCGAATCCGACTTCCTCGCACTCGCACTAAAAACATTTGAATGTTGCGTGACGTGTGCCCTCAGCTGGAACTATTTTCGATCAAAAAAGCAGCTCCGAAGTTGCCAATGATTGGCCTGAAGATGGAGACGAAGACGTGGATTTCTGTCAACGGGTTTGACCTTCATTAGGCCCAAGCTTGGCTGATTACCTGCAATGTGTCAGTGTCTATCACAGCCCATCTCCTACCCCTACACTGGCAGAAATTTGAAAAATTAAATATATATTGATGGGTAATTCCATAGATAGCTAACTAAAAAACTACCCGATTATATATATTAAATTTAAGTTTATATAAAACATCATCACAGGCAAAGTTGTAAACTATAACTTTTGTCGTTTTATTCCAAGAAG